GCGCGGGGCGGCCGGAGCCACGCTCTGCTGTGGGGCAGCAGCGCCCGCGCTGGGGCAGAACGTGCATCCAGCTCTGGCTCCGCAGGGAACTGAAGTTTAGACCGACTTAGGGGAGAGTTCTCAGTGCGGAGGTTGTAATGCCCACAGGGCATTTGGAGCTCTTCACCTTTGCTTAGGTTTCTCTGCATTTGGCTTTAGTAACTGAACCTTCAGTTCTCTGACAGAGTTACCTGTAGACTGTAATGCAACTGATTTATAGAATCAATTAAGCACTTTTACAGCCTTTGCATTGCCATAGAAATGGTTCACAGTGAGGAAGTGTAGATGACCTGAGTGCACCTCAGATGGTGAAAAGAAGTGATTAGGAGGTGCATGTTGGTCACCCTCTGGGGCTGTGAACAGATTGAGATTCCAGCCAAACCTGTGGTTTCTCTGATGGAAAGACACATCAGTATATGCTGTGCATGTTGAGCAATGAAATACAAACCTTTACAAAAACAGATCCTGTTATGTTAGCCAAGAGGCTCCAAGCAAGCACAGCTGGAGAGGCATGTGAGTGTCACACACCCTGTCTGTTAAGGAGTGAGGAAGGTAGCCAGGAAAGTCACACTCACCCTAAGGAAGAAAATAACTTTTCTCTTTACTGTTCTCACCTGAGAATTTTATGTTTTGAGTCTTTTCCCTTGAATGTGCAGGGGAAAATTCAAAAGGTAAACTGTTTATTAAGGCAACACATAGTAGGAGTTGCTGTCTTGTTCATGCACTGGATTTTATGTGCAGGACTGGTGTGCTGGGTGCCCATACAGGAGGGAAGTTATTTGTTTAAAAATTCCTTTTGGCTCCTCTTAAAGCAAGCAGAGGCTGGTAAGGTGCTTATTTCTGCACCACCAGAAGCATATTAAATACAAGAATAGAGAAAGCTTGTGTTTTTCTCTTGTATGCTGCAAAGTGTTAACAAGAGACTTAGATTTTGAAGAGTTTATGGTTGCAAAACCAGTTGAGGAACTTGGGGTAGAATAATCTGGAACATATCCAACAGTTAAATTCTCTAGGAAGCAAGACCTGACTTTAATGGTAATGAAAAAAATCACCTTGCAACCTGTTTTCTGGGTCATTCATTCTGTAAAATTCTTCCCTTGTGCAGTCCTAGGCTGAAGCTCAGCAGACTGAAAGGTAAAGTTCTGATGATTTTTATCAGATTTCCCATTCAGAGCTTCCTACTGAGAGGAGACATGCAAGGGGGGAGAGCTTTGGTGGGAGGCTGAGGATATGCTGGTGGGTTTCTGTCTCCTGATTGCACTGAAAAGACTCCCCCTGTCCTGGTACAGGAGAGAGCTCTTTAAATCAGCAAGGGCCTTGTCTTAGGCACACAGCTCCTGCTGGAGTCACGGGGACCTGGAAACTTAACATTTTGTACAGTGAGATTCCCATTTCACCAGGAGTTGTGTGCACCTTTCCCTCTGTGTGCAGCCCTCCCATCAGCTGTCTTCATCTCCATGTCTGTGTGTGTTTGCTGGGACACCGGTGGTGCAGAGGATCTTACCTGTCCATTCCCTGTGTGCAGGTGAAGAAGATGGGTGGCTTAGGGCTGCTGGCTATGGATGTGCCAGAGAAGTACAAAGGAGCAGGCCTGGACTACTTGGCCTATTCCATTGCTGTGGAGGAGATCAGCAGGGGCTGTGCGTCCACGGGCGTCATCGTCAGCGTCAATAACGTAGGTGTGAGGGACAGGGTGGGCCCAGGCTGGCATCAGGGGCCACTGGAGAAGTGGATCTGTTCCTGTGGTGGGTGCTGGTGTGTTGGAGAGCACTCAGGCATTAGGGAGCTACTGGATTGGTTGTACCTTCAAGAGGCACTAACTCAACACAATTCTTGCAGTCCCTGTATTTAGGGCCTATACTGAAGTTTGGCTCTGAAGAGCAGAAGCACAAGTGGATTGCTCCCTTCGCCACCGGAGAGAAAATCGGATGTTTTGCCCTCAGTGAACCAGGTGACGTGACTGTTGGCATCCCTGTTGCAAGGAACCTGCTGTAGCTTCTTTCCTTGGTCAGGTTTAGGGTGGATTTGAGGTCTTTGAAATGGTAGCAGTTTGTGGAAAGATGGTTTATCTGTGTAAGTGAAGGCTCAGTGCCCAAGGCATGATCTACCATCCCATGGCCCATGCTGAAAATGTCCATCTGTTCTGTGGGCGCAGAGTTCTGACACCTGGGCCTTTCCCCTTCCTGTGTGGGTCCTGTGGGGACAGTGGTGACACCACTGCAGTTCAGGAGGTGACAGGGGTAGGTAGGGGTGGGTTTGCCCCCCAGGCTGCCCCTGCTGACCCGAGGTCGGTTTGCTGGTGCCTGCCCAGGGAACGGCAGCGACGCGGGCGCAGCCTCCACCACAGCGCGGCTGGACGGGGACGAGTGGGTGCTCAACGGCACCAAGGCCTGGATCACCAACGCCTGGGACGCCTCGGCCTCCGTGGTGTTTGCCACCACGGAGAAATCCCTGAAGCACAAGGTGTGTGGGTTTGGCTCAGTCAAGGAAAGGGGCAGCAGTGAAGGAGTGGTGTGGGAGAACTTTGCAAAGGCTCTGGGGACTCAGTTTCTAGAGCCATGCAGGCATTGAGCAGAGGAGGGGCTGATGGGTGCTGGGTTTGTTCTGGCTCAGCTCTCTCCCCCTTATCCTGGTACCTGGACATGTAGCTTCTGTGAAGAACGTTTGGCAGAAGCCTCCTGACAGCAGGTAAGGGGGAAGTGGCACCATTCCTCAGTTTGGGTCTTGTTGCAGGGCATTAGTGCATTCCTGGTTCCCATGCCAACACCTGGGCTGTCACTGGGGAAGAAAGAGGACAAGCTGGGAATTAGAGCCTCTTCCACTGCCAACCTGATATTTGAGGACTGTCGGATCCCCAAGGCCAACCTCCTGGGGCAGCTGGGAATGGGCTTCAAAATTGCCATGGTAAGAGAGGGATTGGGGTGCAGCTGTGGGTGTGCACAGTCACAGCTGCCCAAGCTCATGGGTGTGTAAACCATTTCCAGAGTCACGATCCCTTCGGTGAGGACTGTTCCCAGGAGCTGTTCTGTGTCATGTTAAGCAGTAGACTCCTCTTGCCAACATGGGAGGAATCATTCACAGAGCTCAAAGAATTGTTAATTTACTACAGATCCTTGACAGCACTTTTATCGTGGCAGTTCTCAGCTGAAGTATTGCTGGTGCCACTGAGGTGCTCTGTCAGCAGGGGTGGTGTATTTTAACTGGTCTCCTTTCCCAACCCTCTGTTCCTCCAGTTTGTACCTGTAGATAAAGGGAAAACATGGCGTTTTTCATACATACTGTGGCAGAGGAAAGCTGTCCTGGAGGCCCAGAACAACCTCTGGATAGTGTGTGAAGATGGATGACAGCTGAGTTACGGCCTGTGTGTGAATTCTGAGGAGGAGCCAGGCATCTGGGAACAGCACATTCCCTGCACTGATGCACTGCCCCTTGGAAGTAGTTGTTCTCTCTTTCCAGCCCCTTGCAGAACAGATGCTTCTCATTGTGCTTATTTTTGCATACCCTCCCCCAGCTAGTAAGAAGGAATCCCTCTCGTTTCTGCTTCCCTTGTTGTACCTCAGCTTCTCTCTGCAGTGCTCAGTGCCTCTGTGTATTCCTGCATAACTGGGAATATTCTGAATCAAGGAGGTCTCTGATCAGAGGATTCTAAGGCTACAGCAGCTTCCCAGCAAGCTCAGAAATGCAAGTGTACTATTTTTGATGAACGTATTTTGTGTCTCTCTCAGCACACTCTGGATGGAGGAAGGATTGGTATCGCCTCACAGGCTCTTGGAATAGCACAGGCAGCTCTGGACTGTGCTGTGGATTATGCTGAGAAGAGAATGGCCTTTGGGGCACCCATCACCAAGCTCCAGGCAGTGCAGGTATGAGCTGGGCACAAGGGGCAGTCCCACACAGTGCTGGGGCTGGTGGAAAGTCCCTGTGGGCTCTTGGGCGTGGTGTCAGGCAGGCTGTGCACTTTGCACTGGCTGGGATAAACAGGGTAATCATTCATGTTTTCAAACACTGTTAAAACCGGTTGTTGGGACAGAAGTGCCCCTTTTCCAGCAGCACTGGCCCCAGGGGTGGGGAGAATTTGGCTGTGTCCTTGTGCAGGCAGAGGCCCTTGGCCCAAGGTCAGTGTTTGTGGTTGCAGTTCAAGCTGGCAGACATGGCTGTGGCCCTGGAGGGCGCGCGCCTGCTGACCTGGAGAGCTGCGATGCTGAAGGACAATGGGAAGCCCTTCACTAAGGTATTTCCAGCCCTGCATTTGTCCAGCAGGGACAGTGCAGGGCACAGGCTCAAGGCCAGGGAACAGCACTCGACACAGCATCGCTGCACTTGGTGCTGCTGGGCTGTAACCACCAGCAGAGCCTGCACTGCTGTCCACCCTTGGGCAGTACACTGAGCTCAGTACCTGAGGGCAGGGGTGGCTGCTCCCAGCTGGCACCAGCCTCAGGCCTGCCCTGCTGCACAGCTGGGCCATGAGCCTTCTACCTCCTCGTGTGAGTGAGGCGTTCCTTTTTGTGACAGCTGCACCCTCAGTGATGTTTTCCTTCCCCAAGGAAGCGGCGATGGCCAAACTGGCTGCGTCAGAAGCTGCAACAGCCATTGCTCATCAGGGAACTACTTCAGCTGACAACTGTGATACACAGCATCACTGAAAGGGAGTCTGTGTTGTTGCACAACACGAGTGCTTTGGAACAGTGGGATGGGATTTACTAATTTACTTTTTAAACAAACCAACCAACCCCTACGGCCAAAGCTTGTTAGCACAGCCACCCTTCCTGGGCTGGAGGGGGGAATTTCTGCTGGCCTGTAGCAGCTGTGTCATTAAAGTGGTCTGTGCTGCTGCTGTCCAGGGCAGTGGCAAAGCTTTGAGCAGGTCCAGCGATGCGGGATCAGACCCTCTGGTGTCTGTGCTCATTGTCCCCTCTCCTTAATAAATCAAGTGGCTTAGCTGAACATGGAACCCTAACAGATACCTCTGAATGAAGCAATTAATTCTCTGTCTGGGACATCATTATCACTCTTGCCCAGCTCAAACCCTGTTTATTCCTCTGACTGCAAATGACCTACAGGCATCCCCATGTGTCCTACCCTTCCAGTTACGCCTGCAGTGGGCTCAGCCCAGTCTAAGGTTGCTGTGTTTGTGTTCTGTAGAAAACAAATTCCTGGACTTGCTTCCTTCCTAACCTGCTGCCTTTGTTTCAGGCCATCCAGATCCTGGGTGGGATGGGCTACGTGACAGAGATGCCAGCGGAACGCCACTACCGGGACGCTCGGATCACCGAGATCTACGAGGGCACCAGTGAGATCCAGAGACTGGTCATAGCAGGGCAACTGTTGAAGGCCTACCGAGGCTGAGGAAGCCACCTGGAGCAACACACTGCCCAGAGTGCCTTGGAATGGTGCACAACAGTAATCGAGTTTGACCCTCTTGAATGAGGCTAATGATGGAGGTTTTCCTCACCAATGAGCAACTGACCCTCTAGTTAAAATGTGCTGATTCTTCTTTGGACAAAGTATGGAGTGTGGGGGCTGTACCTAGGTTTGTGTTTGACAATATGAGTGCAAGAGGGAGGAGGCAACCTGTGCTCGTAGGGCAGCATGGCGCCTTTCCTAACACAGAGCATTGGTTTGGTCATGGCAAAATAGCTTTACTGTTGAGTGAAATGAGCAGCTCTCCTTGTGCACTCTCCAGCCACTGTCTGGTTTGTAAAATTTGTCACCAGTGCTAGAGTTAGAGGTGCTGAGAGCCATGACCCCTCTGCCCCAATCCAGGCTGCAGGTCACACTGCTGATCAGACTTCAGGGATGCAGCTGTGTGTGAGCTCCTGACTGGACACAGACTGTGTAATCCTCACAGCAAGGCACTTCTCACTTTCAGAGAAAAGAAGATGGAGAGAAGCCAGACAGGAGGACACACAAGTACAGCCTACACACAGAGGGCTCTAAGTGCAGGCTGCAGTTGTCTGTGTAGATGTAAAATCAAAGGTCAGAAAGAATCTCCCAATCATGGCCAGCAGAGCCCAGCACCTGCCTGCTCACTCAGCTGCTCTGGGATGTAGGGTAGAAGCAAAGGACAGAAAAGCTGTAGTGCCTGAGACTTATTTTTTAAAAAAAACACCACACAAACCTCTGCTCCCAAACCTGCTTCTACAATATCAACAGGAAAGGAAGTGCGTGAAGGGGCACTTACAGCTTTTGATCTCTATGTGCTTTGGGCCACAAGGAGGAAATGAACAGATGACATATGAACCTTACCAGGAAGCTTTAGCAGTAGCACATATCCTCGATCAGTGATCTCTGGTAAGGCATTAACTTCTAGAAGCTTCAGCAGCCAAAGGAGAAGCTCTAAACTCAGGAGAAGATGGAGACGATTAAGACTACAGCCTGTGCAGTCCAGTCTGGCCCCTTGTCCATATCAGGAGTGCACACACTAGAGGTAAATGGTTATTTTCCTGTGGTGCCATTTATTTGGACTTGTGTGGGGAGAAGAGCAGGATTCTATTACACAGGAGAGAGCAGAGAAGGCAAATAAAATCTGATTTTAAAGGACCACCAGTCCCCCCTTTATGTTTTTTTAATGCAACTGTGAATTAATTTGGAATAGTTCTTTCCACTCAGAAGACACAGGAGCATAAACCAGCAAGGGCTGTGTGCACCAGTGCAGCCAGCTCTCAGTGATGTCAGTCACCTGCTGCAGGGCAACCATGTGTCAGGGCAAAGTCCTCAAGAGTTGAGTTTCTCCTTGCTGCTCTCACAAACATAAGCATTGGCAGAAACAGAGCCAAGCAATGCATTCAACAGGAGTATTCCTACTGGAAAAACTGTTCCAATGACTGTGAACATGTTGTAAATTATGGAGGGGCTTCTAAGAGAGACAGATGCTTTTCTAGCTTGATTTCAGCCCATGTCACCACTTGGATTGCTGAAGGCTCACTTCTGGGACTGCGTGGGAGGAAGTGATATTATTTTGTGCTTATTTCTCCTTGCAGCCACTTGGCTTACAACAGGAGCTGCAGGGCTATGAGGCCTTCAGGAATGCAAATGTCCTGTTCAGTGCTCATCTGCACTGACCTCATGTGCTGAGCTCCAGCTGAATCCCCAGTGACCCAGGGTGACCAGTTACTTCTGCCACCCTGCTACACTGCTTCCCCTCCGAGCAGCTGCTTCTTACATCTGCTTTGCCATCCTATCAGCACTTTCCAACTCCTCCTCCCCCCTCACACCTCCCTCATTACCAGCTCCAAATGTTTGCAGCTTCTCTCCAGAGCATAGTGAAACTGCCCCTGTACATGCTCCATGGGGCCACGACAGGGAACACCTGAAGAACCTACAGCCTCGATGTACTGAATCTCTTGTGGTCAGAGAGTATTGGGCGGGGGGGCAGCTGTTCCTGGAGAAGCCCTGCTGCTGTGCTTGTGACCAGAACCTGCTGTTGGGAATGCCTGGATCATGCACCATGTGCCTTGATAACAAGCTCTTTGCTAGCTCTGACCTCAGCTCCCTAGCCGACCTGGCTACCACCACCTGTATAGCTGCAAGTGCTAACCTGGAACTGCTGCACCTCTGCCAGAGTCTGTATCAAATCACAAACAGGGTGGAGCTGCTCAAAAAAAATCACTTAAGACAGCATGTCAGTCAGGTTCCTGAGCCTAGGAACATCTCAAAACTCTACTATTTGAATTTCCTTTTGCTATTACCTAAAAACATACTTTGAGGGTGCAAAGGCTGTCAAACAAAAGCTTTCCAGTACCTTACCTGCTGCCATAGGTTGGGAGAGAGCTTGGTGACCTGTCACACTGCACTGGTTGCAGCAGTAAACAGCACAGTCATGCACAAAGGCCCAGAGCTCCCAGAGCAAAGCGATGGCTTTTCTCAAAGCAAGATACTACAGGCTTACTACTCCTCACTGCTACTAGCCCAGAGACCTTCGTGGGACGCATGTGTGTCTGCTCCTCAGGGCTGCTGCAGAACTGCTGAAAGTGCAGAACACAAACGAGTTTTGCAGCATTAAGTCAGGAGGTCTTAGCCCCAGACAGCAGCAGTGTGGGCTGGGCTACCAGGCTGTCCTTGGAGAAAAGGGGCAGTTTACAGGTGAAGCCACAACTTGCTGTCAGTTTACAGACTCAGTCCATCACAAAGCTGGGGCACCAAGATGAGAAAATCAGGGCATACATAAAGTGGAAAGAGGAGGGGAAGAAGCCAAGCCACTTTTCAAGCACAAAAGCCATGCTTTTCAAGGATAATGGGGGGGTTTTGCCCCACTATACTGTTAAGTGTGTATGAAACCAGTTTCAAGGCTGGGAATTAAGCAGGGGGAGCCCTAACTAGAATCCTTAGGAAGCACAGTTACAGTAACAAGATTTCAGCCCTCGGATTTGCTAGATTTTATACCACATACAAAGCTCACAGACTCTTCATGTGAGTTCCCAACAGACTAAAGGAAGAGACCACCTGTTCTGGGCTGTCACTATTAAACACACAGGTGAGAAATACTTTTCCTGGGCAGCACAGACATGAGCCACAGTTTCAGATTCTACTCACAGGGACACAGGATGACCATTCTGCCCTTCTCACACCCTACCCGTACTGGCTGGCCAGACAACCCCAGGTCATTTCAGAACTCAGCCTGTTTGCAAGGTTATGTGACCTTAGGGAAATTTCAACATACAAACAACACCATTTATAAGCTGGCCATTCCCAAAGACAGCAGAAAACCAACTCCAGGCCTGTCAGCAGGTTTGTGCACTGCAGTTCTGGTCTGTGTCCTGACGACTGTGCTATATACACACTCTAGTCTGTCACTCCCCCTCCCCCACCCTTGACATCCTTTTCCCTTCCTGCAAGAAGTCAGGCAATTACTAAAATAGTTCTGACACCTTTTCAGAAGAAAGGGCAGGTGCTTTGGCCATCTCCCTGCAGGCCTTTGTGTCAAGTAGTTTAACCACCTGTTAAATCAAGAAGGCATCAGCAACCACACCAGATGCAACAGGGCCCGGAACCCCACGCCCTACATGGCTTCCCAAAATCCAAAGGACTGAGAGCAGCCTGCAGAGTTTGATCCTCGAGCAGAGGTGATGTGCAGTCAGACTGGACAGACAAGGACAAAAGGTACACCTGTGCAGGGAGGGCACATAGGTGAGCAGCCAGGTAGGATCTGTTTCTGATCCCCTCAACACTGAGGTGGTTCTAGGTGGGAGAGCCATGGCAGTTTCACAGCTTTAACTTACTCAAAGCCCTGGGAGAGCACTTTTCCTTAGAACAGTTATGCTTCAGATAACCTCTGCAAAACACTAAAACCCTTCTCCTGGCAGCTGAAGGGGCAGCAAACACCTTTCAGTCCAGTGTGAGCTCCTCTGGGCAGGAGGAGGTTCCACCTGTGGGGCCAGAGACAGAAGGTTCAGCATACAGGAGGGCAGTACAGCTTAACAAGGCAGGCCAAGGTTTTCTGGAAAGCTAAATTAATTCTCATTAAGCATTTGTCAGTTAGCACTTCAAGAACTTTTTCCAGAATGTTAAGTCCCTTCATAGGGATGTTTTCCAGACAGGACCTTAAAATGCCACTGCAAACCAGAGGAAGACCTTTAATTTTAAGTCCAAAGGCAGGAGGGAACTGCTGTGCAGCTGACAGAACCTGAGCTGTGCATTACTGTCGGGTGAGTGCAAGGACTGGGCAGATAAAGCAGGAGCAAACTGGATCTGAAGTTGTTATTCCACTGCTTGGAACTTCTGAGGGGATAAAGTCCTTTTTTTTTTTTCTTTTTCTAAATATGCCCCTCAGTACTTTATTCACCTTAGGTTTGAGGTGTGTAGCTGAAAACTGATGCCCTTCTGTTGTCCCAAGCTGACTGCAAGTCTGGCACCTAACACCTGCTGTGGACAGAAAAAGCAGATTTTTAATTTCAAGCTACCTATTCCATTAGAAGTGGCAGTTACCCAGCCATGAGCACTGCAGGCACATCCACGGGAAATGCTTTCACCTACGTGAAAGCTCCAAACTGGGGAGGTGTGTGTGATGGTAAGAGTCACATGCCCCTGACACACCCACCCACCCCTGCTAACCTCAGGCCTCCCTGGAGGGCTCTGCTGGTTCTCACTGTTTCTTGGGCTGTGCAGGTGTCTCCGCAGGGTCAGAGCCCAGAGCCCATCAGCCTCTCTGCCAGCAGTGCCTGCCTAGGACAGAGGAAGGTGGCAGTTAGTGACAGTGCTGGCTGGACAAATGTCCTGCCACGCTCAGTGTGCTTTTCTTGTCCCACCTGCCAGCACAGAGAGCAGCAGGTGTTTCACCAAACCCTCCTTACCTGCCGTGATGAAACCAGACCCAAAGCCGTGTCACTGCTCACACAGTCATTCCTCAA